CACCCCGCGGCCTCCTCGAAACCCGACAGCGGCGACCACGTCCCAAACCCTAGCCTAGACCTCGCCGGCCGGCCGCCCGCAGCCATGGGCCTCTGGAACTACGGCCGCAAAGGCAGGCACGACCGCGAGGCCGGCTCCTCCTCGGGACACCGCCGCGGCTCGGTGAAGAAGGCGGAGCCCGCCTCGCCATCGCCACCACGCCGGGCCCCCGCGCCACCCGCCTTCTCCATCGCGCCCACGTCCGCCGGCGAGCGCGACCGGCATTACGTCCGAGCGTCGGTGTGCCGCCGTTATTGGGAGACGAGGACGCCGCTCCCCTAGAGCGACGCCCATCTCCCCAATAACTGGCACCTCTCCGCCGACCGGGTCCCCATCCCGCCGGTCCCGACGAGCGGCCGTGCGCGCAACGAGGAGATCGAGCGCCGCCGCCTCCTCCTCCCTGACGACCTATTCTACGATGCCAGGTACGCCCCCGACTCCCCGCTGTGGGACACCTGGTTTCGTGATGAGCACGACACCAGGCGCGCCTCCTTCTTCGCCGGCACCTCGATGGGGCCGCGGCGGCCACGGGAGCGCGCCCAGGAGCGCGGGCGTAGGCGGGTCCGCGGCGTCACGCCCACGCCGCCGCCGTCTCCGTCGCCCCCTCCACCTCCTCGCATGACAGACGAGGAGGAGGCCCGTCTCCTGCAGCGTGTCATGGACAACTCCATGTACACGCACGACGAGCGGCAGTGGGACGGCCTGGAGGAGGCCATGGCCCTCTCTGCTGTCGCCGCCGCGTTCCAGCCGCTGCTGGGCCAGGGGTGGGGCTGGTCCTGCACTGCTCCGGAGATGGCCGCCGGCGTGGGCGTGAACTGGTGCCCCACTCCGTCGCGGTCACCGGAGCTGGAGGCCTCGCCACGGGAGGAGGTGGTGCAGGCACCTCCGGTCGTCCAGCCCGCCCCCGTCCATCACGCACCTCCGGCCCACCTCTGGACGCCGCCGGAGTACGTCGACCTCGTCAGCAACGACGACGACACCGGCGGCCAGTGAAGACGGCAACGGCCACGGCACCGACGGGCGCGGCAGGAGCGCGCAGGCCTTTTTTTATTTCTTTTATATGTTAATTATGAAAAATGGGCCTTTTAAGTGGTCGTGGAAACTGGGCCGTTTTGTGACCGCCCCCTATATATATTTTATATTTTTTAAAAAATGTGTTTATTTAGTTTTTTGGTTATTTTGTTTTAGTTTTAATATTTATTTTATTCATGTCCACCCCGGACACGATTTGGGGTGCGGCCACGCGGTGCGCGCACGCACGACCCATCTGACAAAGGCGGACACGGCGAACCCATCGGCATCCTAAAGAGACAAAATCCGGCCAATCCGGACGTCCGTTTGGGATCGCGCGGTGGAGTTAGCCTGACGCATCACACATCAATCTTACAGCATGTACTACTGCATGCATGGCGGACTGGCAGCGGGAAGGAAGGTGTCTTTTCCGGGCAGCCGTTTCCTCAGTCGGTGACCCTGGAGGACAGGAGAAGGGAAGGCCTGGCGAGCCAGGATGCTTGCGGAATGGAGTGTGGCACGGGCGGAGCTCCGGATCCAGCAGGTACGGGACATGGAGCATGGACGGTGAAGTGCAGGAAGAGGACGCCCGTCCACTTCCCCCGCCTGAGGACTGAGGAAGCAGCGCGCGAGAACGAGAACGATGCAGTGGCCCTGCTCCATGGCGTATGCATGTCGGATCCCCTTGGCCGATTGCTGCTCGGTTCGCTGCGTGGAAACAGCAATGTTTTACTGAATTCTGCTGCCCCGTTTTCCCTTCAACCTCGTGCCAAATCATTTCTCTGAACATTGCAGGGGCACCCTGCCTGTCATCTGGAGGCTCTCAAGTGGTACTCCCAATTTTCCACATTTGTTTAATTGTTTTGTTTGTTGTAAAGTGTGGAAGGTTTCTATAAGAAAAGGTAGGCATATTGTGATTCGTGAATCATCCTTTACTCCTTTCTTTAAAGTGAAATACTCTTCCTTTACTGAATTACTCTACGAAAATAGTGTAAAGGTTACTCAATTTAAGAGTTGCTCCCTACTTTAGGCCCATATTATGAATTATTCCTCATTTACTCTGTTTAACCCAACTTTTCTCGTCCCATATCTGATCCAGTTGTCAGGATCAGCTAACTCAGACAACATGCCGCCAAATGTTTTCTAGATGAATTCTAATGTTTTCCTCCATAGAATTCCCAAAATAATATTATAAAATTTGGAGACAACATTTCCATTTTAGTGATTTTAAGTATGCTGAAGATTTTCAATCAACTTACGTTCAATGAATGGAGTTAGATAAATTTAAATTATGAGAAAATTACAACATTATTTCGTTATAACTCCGCATATTTTGAAACAGACATGACTCATTTTATAAGTAAAATGGGAGAGAGATAATACATAAATTGTAGGAAAATCATTGTAATTATTTTCTAACATGTTTTGACTTGGTGTTCATGTAATGTTCAATTTGGCATGCACACGGTCCTGTTAAATATGCCCAAGGGAGAACTTGTCAAACAGGGTTAAAATGTTGAATTATAAAACACATGGTGGTAAGGAGGTAAATTTGCCGGTGTAGATTCCGGCAAACCTTTTGGTAGGGTATCGCGACTAGCCGGAATTCCAGAGGGGAAACATGAGATCAGTTTACCCAGGGTCAGGCCGTCACGGCTGGGGCAATACCCTACTCTTTCTCTTGTTGTATTGACTGGAAGGGGTAGAAAGTACATATGAGTTCCTAATGATCATGGGTATACCGAAGGGTGAAGATTGTGTGCCTATCAACCAGCCTTGCCCCGGCTTACAAAGGGTGCACGGGGCTAGGTTTACAAGATCCTAGTTGGTATCTAAGGCGGTGGACATCAGCTTTCTTGTTCTTTCCTTCTAAAGGGCCCACGTGCCGGGATGATGGCTCAGGGCACGTTTCGACCTTGGGGCCTCGGGCCAGCATGATGGGCCAGCTTTTGGTGGCATGAGGCACCCCTAGGTCACAAAACCATCATGAATGAAGGGTGAATTTTATCAACTGGATATTTTTTTATATATGACCGCAAATCCTATAATCTATATTCGTAGAGGCTAATTGATTTGATGTCAAGAGTTGGCATGCAGAATTTTGCCAACTGCCAAATGTTGGCTAGAGGTTGGTTGCATACCATTTTCGTTGCCAATCAAACAAAAAATTGCCAAATGTTGGCAGCAAACAAATCAGCTAAATATGTGACTCACACTAACATATTTCTATCAACAGGGAACCTTTTATAAATGCGAAAAGACCCACTTCAACATGCAACCTTGCATGGAGAGATCTTTTTCAATATATGATGCTACTTGTGTTCCATAAATATTTTAGAATTATGTAATAAATAATATGGATTTTTACTTTGGGTCTCATAATTAGCCAAAATATTCATGTTCCATATAACCAAATCTCATTGAATTACATTGCAACCAATTCCCGCAGCAACATGCGGGGTACCATTTAATAAATTGTAAAAGATGAGATAATCTCTTTTTCATTGCACCCTAGCCTGTGAAACCCTAGCCGCCAGAGGCAACCAACAAGTGAAACTACTAGGCGCCCTAAACTTTGGCGTCCTCGAGTTTCCTCACCTCCATCGTCTGCTCATGTCGTGATGAGAGAAGGGGAACCCTGGTACCTTGTTATGTGTGTCTTGAGTAGCTTATGTGTCTTGGTTAGGTCTTTGGTTGTCCATGGCTTTGGCTCCAACAGTGGGAATAAGATTCCTTCGGATCTTCCATCAAAGGGGTAGTTGTTCTAGGTATCGATATTTGATTTGGTAGGCGATGTTTGCGCCGTCTCGGGTCCAAAGGGCGAGCAGCTCGTGTTTCTTCGTGTTGGTGTTGAGGCAATGATCCTCTTCTTCCTACTCTTTCCAATAGTGTTGTTGTGGGTATCCATGTGATGTCCTCGGTCGTTTTTTGCGGCTGCGGCGAGGTTGTGGCCTCTTTTGTCCTTCCCGTGGGTGTCTCCGTGATGCGACATATCGCTCTCTCCTCGTCGTAACGAGGTTATTTACATTGCCGTTGCAGAAGTGGCAGAAGTTTTGTTCACGAGATGGTCTGGATCTTTGATTTCTGATCTATACACGACTTTTCTTTAGGGGAATCTATACAAGACTTGTACGATGGCGACTTCTTCTCCGAGGCGTCGGCCCATCCGTACCTTAGCACGAAGACTTCCGCGACCCAAAGATACAATGCTAGGCCCACTACGATTGATTGGTATCTTGATTTTGAGAAGCGGGTTGTAATTTTCTCGTCCTTCTTTTCTTTTCAGTGGAATTTTCTTGTGTTTCTGGTATGCCTTGTATTGATCGAATTATTGTACGGATACAACAAGACATGCGTAGCACATGTGAACAATCTCCCCCGCCAAGAATTAAACAGGAACGCAACACAAGATGAGCGGAATCTGGAAGAAGCTAAAGCGGCAAATTGCACGTTCTTTCTATCTTTTTGTTTTTTGCTCGCGAAAAAAGAAGAAGATACGTACTATCAGTAACTTGACCGAATTTTTGTACATGTGCATGTGCATGTCACACCATATATGCGTGGAGATGCTTCCCCGATAGCCTACTAGTCCGTACTCCACTTAGCATCAACGGAGCAGCAGCAACAAGAAGAAAAATCCGAGATGGTGTTCTTCCAGCATGAACAAATTCTGACGCAGGTAGGCCTACTCGGCTGCTCCTATCTGTAAAGAAAGACAGCGCACGATCGATCGATTCCCTTGAGAACGACTGGGAGCAGAGCAGAGTACCCCGTGACGCGCGTGCGCTCGTCGATCCTCCGGCTTTGCAGAATCGCAGCAGCGAGCAACCATCGATCGATCGAGCAAGCCGCGGCCATGGGGATTCGCGCCAAGAAACTTTCACAAACCACCGCCATTTTCGCACTGTACACGGCACACGTGGCGCGTAAGTTGGTAAGAGTAACTAGCTTTAGCTAGCTAGGCCCTGCGACGGCGGCGGCCTGTGCTTGGCGGTGCTGGTGGGCGCGTCGTCGAGCCAGGCGCGCCGGAAGGCGGCGACGATGGCGCGGTGGTGCTCGGCGGCGTTGAGGGCGAGGTAGCACGCGAGCAGCTCCTCGAGGCCCCGGGGCGACGCGCGGACCTCGTCGTTGGCCGCGATCATCTCCGCCATGCTCGCCAGGAAGTCCTCCTCCGGGTCCGCTGACTCCTTCACCACCACCAGGCTCTCCTGCAGCCACCGCCCCCGCCTCGCTTGTCGCCTCCGCGGCTTGGCGGTCGCCGTCGCCGGGGGCTGCGCGTCCGCCGGCCTCCCCCCCTTCCGCCCGCCGCTCGGCTTCACGTGTATCCGCGGCCGTCGCCGCCGCCGCGCCCTGGCCGTCGGCGACGCGCTGCCGCTGCCCGATGCCCCCTCCTCCTCCCCGTCCACCTTCCTGCCGGCCGGTTTGGTGAGGATGGGCCGCAACTTGAGCTCCGGCATCGCCCCGAGCCCGTCGAACCGGTCGGCCGCGGCGCGCGGCACGGTGACCACGTCGAAGACGATGTCGCTCGGCTGCGGGCTGCGCGGCAACTGCGTGTCCCGGCGCTTGGGCGGAATCGGAATCCCCTTGACAGCTCCACGCTCGCCGCTGGGGACGTAGTAGGACGCCCTGTTCGGGGTGCACGGAGGCGGCACGGGCACCCCCCGCGACGACGCCGACGACGAGGAGGGCGTCGTCACCACCGCCGGAGCACGATCGCCTCTCGGGACCTCGCCGGCGTCGCCTCCTGGCTTGCGCCGCAGCTTGTAGAACCAGGAGCCCGGCGGCGGCATCGTGGTGCCACGAGAGGGCGTCAGGCTTCTTGAAGTCGCACTAGCTAGCTAGCTCTCCACTCTGGCCCTGTGTTGCACTTGCTGTGGAGTACAGTGGCGAGGCTGGGGGAGAATGTGGAGTGAGCTGCCGAGCGTGCACTTTTTATGGCTGGCGCGAAAGCTCGCCGCGGGTGGCGGTCGACAGACACAAAGCCGCGGTGGAAAAGCGCGGGCGGCGTCACATAACGATCTGGCATGCACGTCTATCTGCTCCTGTGGGGAGCCCGTCCGATTAGGATACCCCGAAAACACTTGCACCTCATGCTAAATCTATTTCTTTTCCCTTGCATTGCTCGTTTTGAATTTGCGCTAGCTCGCTGTCTTACATCTGCTGGAAACTGTGTGGCAAACAGGCACCGTCAAGTGCGCAATTATTTTACAGTACCACGGACCGGCGGACCCGGACTAATTGAGCATGGAAGATGGTCCACGAGAGTCAAAACGTTTGATTTGAATTCGACAGACAGACATCAGTCGGTGTGTAGGCCGGGGACTGGTCGAAGACCGGGGAGAGGCCGGCCGGCCGGGCCACGCTGCACGCAGTGATCCTGGGCCATCTCTCCAGCTTTTCTACCGCAAGCCCGCAACGAGTAGTGATTATTGTCTCTACCGGCCATCTTTCCCTGCAACTAATCGCGTTGCACATGAGTTTCACGGCAGGAAGTGAGGGGTGGTTACTGGTTAGGTAGGAGTGCGACCCAAGTTAGTTCTTGATGTTTTCAGCAGCTATGATTCGGTGCCTGCAGGGGACATGAGCGCTTCCAAAAGTCCAGCCTCTGGTCCACCACGCATCAGTGTGCGGCTTCGCTTTGCTTTGCTTTGGTCCTCGTGTGGGGGCAATTAGTTAGCCGCGCTGCGCACGATCTTGTTACAGATCGCATGCCCGATCATGTACAATCCTAGATGCTTCGTGCAGTTGCGCCTGCAGCTTCGCTTAGTTGGAAAATGCGAATTTGAGCGTGCTGTGCAGCGTGGCATGAAGGAAAGGAACCAGTGCGCCTTTCTCTCCAATCTCCCCGCTGTAGTCAGTACGTACCACTGATGAAGATATCCACAAATGTCCTGCACCGATGAAGCTTAAATCTAATTAAATCCGTGGTCGCCACGCGGGAGCATGCAGACGAATCATTCAGTGTATCACTGTATGTGTGTGTGGTATCTATCTACGGTCGCGCTCATGATTTCGCGGCGCGTTCTGCCGCCGATCTCCTCCTCGCGGGATTGATTCATCCTGCCAGTGGTTGCGGGGACACTAGCTACGAGATGGAGCACCCTCGCGCGTCGCGACTAGTAGATCACCAGACGGTCGCGGTACTACAGTCCAGTGATCCACCGGTGCTAGCTTAGCTAGCTAGCTGCTGGTACCAAGTGAAGTTCAGCATGCCAAAACGGCCACTGTAATCGCGGATTTGCGGTGGCCGGGCCAGCAACCACCGGTCTACGTACCTGCGTAGCCCGACTCATGGAGCTAGCTTAGCTAGCTGCTGGTACCAAGCGAAGTCAGTGGAAGTAGAAACGAAACGACACCCTGAAGCCATCATTGCGATGATCACGATCGCAGACGGCCGGTTTGTATGCGCGCGCGCAGGCGGGGGTTTCAGGCATGGCGATCCATCATTGTGGGCCGGCCGGCGTTTTACTTTCAGTCATGCAGCAAGTCTAATCTCATACTCCTATATATAAGTATAACACAGGCTTGATTGCTGACGCAATACGCACAAAGATACATACATGTATCTAGTGGCGTCCGTATCTCTTGTCGATTGCAACGTTTGGATGCCCTTCAAGGGTGGTTGTTAAGGGATTGACACGTAGTACATACATGCACACAAGACAGAACCACTAAGGAATCCTTTGTACTATATTTTGAACGAATCATGCCGATCAAAGAGGCCCTTAATATTAATTTCTCGGGTTCATTTGAACTACCGGTTGTCTGGTGTTCACGGGATCATGCAGGAAAAATTCGCGTCAGGGTTTATAAACTCAGGAGG